ATAAATCATATAAAATACAGAAAAATAGTAAAGCATGTCAATCATTGACAGAAGCAAAATGGATTAGTTCTAGTTTCATGTTTGTTAAGTTGACTTCCTACGATTTCTATCGTTTGTGAAAATAAATTAGATTTTTAGGACACATTGGTATTATTTGGGAGTTTTATGGACTAACACAAGTCTAGTTGAATTGGAAGTTTTCTTGTGGAACTCTTTGGGTGATGTTTATGGAGAATGTAAACTTTGATTTTGAATCTTTGAATCTTTCCCTAGTGGTATGAAAGTCCCCTGTCTTTCAGTTCTGTACTCAGACGCTGAAATATTACTCTTGCCATTTAGGGCATCCTCATGAAAAGGCAACCTAACAGAGGATCCTTTGTTTCAAAAATATATTTCTCAGGACTCCCATCAAAGGCTTCTAACCTACCGGAATGAATCCTGGAGCCTTGTTGTTTGGCTCTCTCATCTCCATCAACTTTTGCTAGCCCAATCCGTGGCATTATTGAATGGGTTTAATCAGATTTTGATTCACCAAACCCTCACACTATAAATCATCAACAAGAAGAACAACTTTTTTTCATAAAGCATTTGAAAGAAAAAATGTTGACCCTGACTGCTCTGAGAATTGGGCTCCTCTTTTGGGTAAATCTGCAGCTGTCTTACTGTCAGAGCATGATTGTTTAATCTCTTTCACTTGACGGAAAGGAATGTAACAAACTCATTTCTGGCTCACTGCCACACAGTTTCTGAGAATTTTTTTCTAGCAATAAAAGCAATGTGCTAGTAGATTGTGCAGGTGCTGAAAATGTTTTCTATTACCATATACAATATTGGGGCATGTAAGGACATCCTTTTGGTTTCTGTGCACAATGTATTTGGCAGCCTCATTTTTTCCCACGTTTTGGCTAAGTCAACAATGGTTGGAACTCTAAAAACACCTTTGTAATTTTTTTTCTTATTAGCATTTGATTTTTTTTTTAAAAAAGGACTTAATATGAGAACTTTGCATCCCACTCCTAGTGATACAGGTCCTATATTGTCATGGGGAATTAAGTTCTTAAAGAAGAGTGGGTATCCTTCACATAAAAGTTATAGTTTAGAAACAATTCATTTTTTGAAGGATGAAGACAAATCCTCTAGTGCACATTGTGGATGGGGATGATACAGTTATTAGATACATAGATAGTTGAGGATGTGATATACAGGTAGCTGGCATGGCAGTTTGCTATATGTAGTAGGAAGATGGTAGATTTCTTTGTCAGTAAATTATTCTGTTAGTTTGTTAGCTAGTGGTGATGGGAGTTAATTTTTTTAAAAGACAAT